CTAAAATCATTATTCATCCTTCCGTTGCAGTTGCCACACAAATCGATAGCTGAGGTGATGAATTTCTATTATGACAATAAAAAACGATTGAAGTTAAGTGATATTCTGATGGAACGAGTGCATGATGAGCCTCCTGAAAGCAGTGATGAAAGGTGGGTATATTCCAGTTTCAGTTCAGTACGTCTTTCGAATCATTATGGAGATAGGTACAATGGTATAATGTTCTGTTATCATGAAGTATTATCGAATTTTTTAGCGATTCTGATGAATCGATGGAAGAATCAGATGAGGAAACAAAGGATGGTAGATGTGAGCGATGTGGTTTCGAGCAAACCGGATTGCAGAAGAGCAACCACCATGATAGGTTCTTATGTGACTCATGTGCTGCACGTTTCAGGTATACTTTCTTCTTTCACTCATCCACCTTTCAACCGCTAAGGTTCATTTATAATTCATGTTCATCCCCTATTAAATACCCGTACTTAACGAACAAAGGTCGAATCCGATGTTATCTTTCTTAAAAGTCAACTTGCTTGATTGCTCGACCAACACCGTGAACAAACAATTCCTGTTTAATCGAGTTTTTGACTGGAATTGAGCCTGGATTCAGTCTGAAATCGAGTTTCTCAAAGAATTATCAACTCAGATCCATTCATCCAATACGTTTTTATTCCTTTTATTTGCGTTATTAAACCATTGTTATAGTGTTGCTGTTGCTGTGACCCGTCAAAAACGATGTCGAGGTGTACTGAAACGTGTGAAACCGATGAAGAATTTCGTTCCAGGTTCGTGGATCCGATCGCAAATGACTGATTTTGTTCTTTTTTATCACGGATTGATAACGAAGATAACAAATACTTTAGGGATGTTTTCATTTTTTGACGTTTCAGGTGCTGATATGATCGATGCATTTTCAACGTTGATGAAGAATAAGACATCTGCTTTACCTTCGAATGGCCAATCAACTTCATATGAACAGCCGCAGTACCAAAATGCGTTTGAGTTTGAAAAGAGTGGATACAGGGATGTATTTCGGGAACAACGCAGAAGGAGGTTAGCAGCTATTTAAGGGAATTCAGCTCGAGTACTATCTTTTTTATTTATTTTTTAAAACAAATTTTTTTTATGAAAGATTCAATTAGATATTGATTCATTTTATTAGGCATTGAGTTTTGTTGTCACTTCATTCATTCAGGTGAGTATGTTAGTTATATGTTTAGTTCGTAAATGTTGCTTTATCGGATGTGGTTTTCAGGGAGTTGGAGAAGAACATAATTGAAGCGCGTGCGTTGTGTAGTCGACTGATGT